CCAAACCGTAGGTTCATTATATATTCCCCTACCTAAAATTCCAGAGTGCCCAGGTGTATCTAAAGTTCTTCAAACTCCGGACTCCAAGTCCAACTCTTCAGGTATTCCCTTACCTACAACCAAAACTAGCGAGTGCTTGGTACCACCTCAAGTTGGCGTTGTGAACCCATCTCCTAGGGTCAAACATGACCCAGTGATACCAACACAAGATCAAACATCCTCGTCGATCGTTGTTTACTCGTACAAAAATGTGACAAACTCTGGTAGCTGCGCGCTAGATCGTCTCGAACGGTGGTCGCTTAGGTGGCGCACGTTCTCCCCCTCTCGCACTTTGTACTCGTTAAGGTCGCCGGTGCAATGGTCAGGGGCAAAGGCATAAGTAAGCGGCTACGTGATGCTCGGCCGGCGGCTGCGTGTGCACGCGCGCACGAAATGAAGTTTACAGTTAGCCACTTTAAAAACACTGGGCTGTTCGACGGAGCAAGAAAGAGCACAAGAACAAGCGACTGGGGAACAAGCGAAAGAAGAGAAAGAAAAGCGGTGACGCGCGGTCGTGCGTCGCGTGGGAGGGGTGGTGGGCCGGGAGGGTGGAGGGTGAGGAGGTCGGCGAGAAAAGAAAAGGAGGAGGGGGAAAAACAACGAAGAGAAGATACGCGAAATCATCGCCGTAGCTGAGGAGGAGGGGAGGAGGTTGTGGCGAAGTTTTGAGGCGGGGGAGGAAAAAGTTGTTGCGGCGAAGGGAGAGAGGAGAGACACGGACTCTATAACGAGACAAGGTTGGGAGGTCATCGGTTGTTTGGTAAGACCAGGACAGACGACGCACTGGCATCGGGCCATGAGAAAGAAGGCTCCCAGGCATATTCGTCCGCTCCTCGTTATGCGCTTCGTGGGAGCGAGCGAGACCAGAGAACAGCGACGGATCGAGATTTCGTGGATCCCTGGACTTCGAGGTCTTGTAGGAATGTTTTCTGAAGAGCAAACGTGGCGGGAAAATTTAAAATATTTTTAAGAAGCCGTACTCGGGTTCCTCTAGTCCAGGTGGTATTTATTACTATATATTTGAGCAAAGTGTGAAATAGACGAAAATATTTTGTTGAAAGAAAGGATTTGAAGGGTACAGTGTAAATGTAACGTAAAGGTCTGATGTCAAACTTTGTGGATCGAAGTAATCCAAGTATTATAGTGGATAAATAACCGAGGAGGACCCGAGGCACGGCAGAACCTCGATTATTGCACGAGGGCTTCGTTTATTGCATACTATTTGGAGAGGATGATTCCTAAGTAAAAAATAAGGAGACGTTACACGTGAGCCACAAGCAGTGGGGATAGACTGTATAAGGTATAGTTAGCGAGGTTTCTACTCATTGCATTTGTTGTTTCAAGAACCTCGATTATTGTACGAGGGGTTCGTTTATTGCACACTGTTTAGAGAGGATGATGTCTAAGCAATATATGAGGAGATTAGTTAGTGAGATTTTTAATCATTGGTTCACAATTGGTATTGTTGTATTATTTAATGTATTATTATTGGTAATAGATGAATGTACAGGTGAGTAATTATTGTCTGATCCGTGCGGTTTTCTATCAAGGACTGACTCGCTTTACATACGACCGAACGACAGGTGTCGCTCGGGCAACTGTAACAGTATGCAATCTGACTCTTTTATTTTGAATCAAACTACACATAAAAACAATCAAATGTAGAAGAAATAAAATCCTAAAGCCCCTATCAAGAGATCTACTTTCGTTCCAAAATGTAACCTGCACTTTTTACACAACAAATCTCACTTCAAAAATTCTTCACCTTCGACTCGAAAAATTTTTCCTAAGATTTCAGTCCACCTCCGTCCCTCAAACCGAAAGCTGCTCCTCCAAGCCCACGCCTGAATTCGGCCCTGCGTGAGAAACGCACCGGAGACGCGAGTCGAATCTCTCCGCGGACGCCAGGCGACGCTTAGCACGAAGAGAGACGGTCGTACTTACAGATATGAAAAGAGCGAAACGGGACGACGGGAAGCAAAAGGGACGGGGAGGGAACATAGAAAGAGGGAGAACCGGTGAGAAGAACCAAAAGAACCAAAGACCTGGGCTGGCTCGGCTGGCTTCTCCTTCGGTTCTTCCTCTCCTTCTGGTTCTCCAGAAGGAGAACCAGAGGAGGTGGGACTCCCCCTCCTCGTCGAGCGAGCGTTTGCATGACAAAGACGGGAAAAAGGCCATCGAGAGGCGGCGAGCCGCGTTCTACGGCGCAACACGGCGTGCAACGGCGCGAAGCTGTTCCCCGCGCGAAGGACGACCGTAACGCCGCATACTGGGAAGATTCTGAAATTCTCCACCGTTACGGCTCGGGATACGAGCGCTGGAAATAGTGTCTCCGTTTCGAAACGGCGCACATACTCGGAGAGCCAAAGACGATTTTACTTAGGTCATTTTGGGATGAAAACAATCCTTTTGTTATATAAATATAATAACTAATCACGAAAGTCAGGCACACAGCGTGCGGTTTCTTTTTGTTTTTGGTTATAGAATTTAAGTATAAGATAAGGATAGGATAAGAATAGAATAAGGTACGATAAGGGTAGTTTTAAGGTTAGACATAAGAAGGAAATTGTGAAGAATCTGTAAATGGGAAAAATGGAAGGGAGCCCATGCGAACCCCTTGGGGAAGCACAAGTAAATACATTACATTACAATTAACTAATCACGAAAACCATCGTCTGGCAGCTACACGTTAGAACAACGACGCGTGGGTGTATTTTGAAACCTTTTGAATTTTCTAATTTTTGGTACAGTGATTAATTGCGTGTTAGTGAATAACAAAAAAATATAAGGGGAACGCAAGGGGTACCAGATGCAAATTGACGCGAGTGACCATTGTAAGAATGCAACTTCGTGCATTTTCATGAATATCAGAGAACTCTTTACAAAGAACTCTTTTGGCTAGTTGCTCCGGATTTGCGGATACACGATGCGTTACGTTATTATCATTTTTCAGTATGCTACGCGCGACAGACACCATTGGAATTGCGACCGTAGGGCGTAGCCATGTTCGTTAAATTCCACGGGAACGTTAACGAGCGATCGACTCTTTTCGGAGCGGTGGGCATTGCTCCAGCCGGCTCTTGGTATGGAAATTGGGAGAATTTAATTTGATAAGTTGAACGCGATTTACAGGTATCGCCGCAAGGAGGACTAAAGGAAGGACTAAGTACCGAGCGACAGTTGAGGTTCTTCCATCTTCTTCTAGGTCTAAAGTGAGGCTTCTGGTCGTCAGTATTCCGGAATCCTGACCCGGGACGGTTCTCAGACCTAAGCCTACTTAAAACACTAAGACCCTTAATTATGGTTTACTGTTCGACAAGTATATATCATTAGATAGTCCTAAAACACTCGTAACCAAAAGACTATCACTACTATAAACAGGTGCCAACATCAACGAAGCTACCCTCTTCCTCGAAAACTATTAACTTTTACTAGATCACTATACTCGCTATTAGTAATTGCTACTTTAATTAATTGCTAAATGATGAATTTTAAGTATGTCGTAAACTTTCAATGATGTGCTCACAAAATATATCAACTGGTATCTATTTCAAGCGTTATCACAGTGTAGACCCTCGTTGACCAGTTAGACTCTCGTTGGGGGTCCTTCCCTCGTCAGTTTTCAAGATATAATTATTGCAATCCCGAGTTATAGTACGAAACCACGCCTCTGTCTGCACGAGATCGAGCAGATTCTGTCTATACACACGTGTTCCCACTGACGATTAGTAAAATGGGCAGACAACACTCTGATTCCATCAATCAGAAGCATTGAGCTTTCCGCGAATCCGCAATAGTTTGGATAGAATCGCATTGCTCCGGTGCATCTCGTAATGTAACACGAGAATATAGTCCGCGTTAATAGATGACTGGTTTATTATGATAGTGGTGCAAGTCCAAACAATTTTATTTCGAGTTATAAAGGGATTTGCATTTTAATTAACTTAAAAGTGTTTCTGTCTCTGGTCCTCTGATTAGGACTATTAAGATAATCGTGGCATCAGGTGGTATGTATACAAGTGAGCCCATCGTGTCCTTATACTTTGAATGTAATACTAAATTTATAACATTTGTAAACCTTGTCTAACATTAACAATATTTAATTACAGTAAACTTCACCAATTTCGATGTTTTGTAAAAATCTCGGAGGATGAAAGCTCACGAGTCTTCCAGAGTGATAAACAATAATTTAAGATCAGATCTGGGTCTATCACAAAAAGTGAACAATTCTAACTTCAAAATAAATTATAATTACCTATTATTATTATTATTAGTATTGGCCTCACTAATTTCATTGAATTTAACGAACATCAAAAGTTGAAGTTTGATGAGTCTCCTACATTCATAAACAATAGTTTAAGATTAGAACTAGTTGACCACAAAGAGTGAACAATTCTAACTTCAAAATAAATTATAATTTCTCTAATTTCATTGAATTTAACGAACATCAAAAGTTGGAGTTTGATGATTGTCCTACATTGATGAACAATAGTTTGAGGTTAAATCTGGGCCTACTATCAAGCCAATAATGTCAAGTAAATAATTCTAATTTCAAAATCAATTTTAATTACATATGATTCCCCTCTTATCTTCAAACACACATAAATTCAAACTCAGATATACGCAAATCTTAGACATAAATTGAGGATGCACAGTAACCTTTTTCCTCTACTATATTTTTAAGTGACCAAAATCGATGAAAATATCAGTATAGTAAACAATTACTTATAATTTCATTTACTCCACTATTAAATCCTACACTATAGAAAATGCCTCTTCAGTTTGTGAAGAACGACCCCACTTCAAAATTAGCATCAATCTTCTCACGATAATTCACCGTTGGGAACGATCATCACCCAAACCGCATCTTTCGAATCTCTCTCCACCCTGAAGAATCCCTCCAAAATTAAAATTCCCCCAAAATCCAGTAGCAATCCAACCCCACTAGAGTCAAATTTCCATCCCCTAAAACCCCCAAGATTTTTAATTCCTCCGTGTCCGTGGGTCGAGTCCTCGCGCCGGTCTCAGTCCTGTTCTGGTTTCCCCTGGACGACGACGGCGGAGAACGACGTGCACCGGCGAGAGAGGAAGGACCGGTTCCAAAGGATGCTGCTACCTTTCGTCCTTCGAGCTGCCGGTGTACCGGGTTCTCCTCCTTCGTTCATCTTTGCTCCGCCGTCTGAAACTTTTTCCACCGTCTCCTTCTCCGTCCCGATCATCGTCCTTTTTCCTCCTCTTCTTCCTCTACTTCGACTTCGCAGTTGCCTACGCACGCAGGAAGATCGAACCTGGTCTCTACCGCTCCTCCTTCTCTCTCTCCTCCTCCCCTCCGTCGATCTTCTTGATAATTTATTTTTCATAAAAGACCGTCGGGCGTCTCCAGCCGTCGAGTGCCATGGGAAACTCACCGCGCCGGTTCGTTTGCAGTACCCTGCGAAGGGGGATCCTTTTCACGGACGATCGATTCCTCGTGGTATTCCTCGAGGTGGTGCCCCGCCACGAAGGTTGCCTCGTTCGTGCAAGGTCGGGACCTTGCGAGTCGCACGAAGTCCTCTCGGCTTGGCATACCATGGTCATTACCAGGACCCGCTATCGGCCAGCAGGAATGATCCTTCTCGAGCCGATACCGCCATGACTGCGCACCAGTAAAAATCACCGCGTCCGGTTGTTTCCACGGCGATGCGCCCGTGGCTCCGTCGCGGTAGCCACTTTGAATCCGCGCAAATGAGCGGGATTGATGGCGGAAAGCACGCTACTGCTAAACGAGCGGTTTGCTTAACTGCACACGTGAGCCGGAAAGAAGAACTGCGGGAGACGTTCGAGGAATGTTCGCGGTTCGGTGTAGATGTACGTTGTACACTGTTGGATGACGGACTAGCTGCTGTTGGTCAGGCTCTGTTATCGAAGAGGATTGGAATCTTCTTGACGTGTTTCGAAAGAGAAAAGATTATGTTTCAGGCGAGATAAGTTAGTCTATGAGCGATTGAGGGTGTTCTAGCGGATGGCGTTTCAGACTGTTACGTTTGAAGTCCTCTGTTTGGTGATGTTTGCTCTAGTCATTGAGTCCAACAGTTTCGGTTGAATAGGTAGAATTTCCGTGATATGGTCAAATAGAGAGATGATGTTTCATGCAAGATAAGTTAGTCTATGAGCTAGTGATGTTATTCTAACAGATCACGTTTGAGACTGTTTCGTTTGAAGTTTTCTGTTTTCTGATGTTTGCTCTGAGCTCTTACACTTTCACTCGAGGGAATCTCCGTGATATGTTCAAATAGAGAGATGATGTTTCATTTGGAATCTGTTAGTGTATGGGCCAGCGGAGCTATTCTAACAGATCACTTTTGAGACTGTTTCGTTTCAAGACTTCTGTTTGCTGATGTTTGCTCTGAGTCCTTACACTTTTACTTGAGTAGTTGGAATCTCTGTGAAATGTTCAAATAGAGAGATGATGTTTCATTACGAATCTGTTAGTGTACGGACCAGCGAGGCTATACCAGAACATTATGTTTGAGACTATACGGTTTGACGTTTTCTGTTTGATGATGTTCACTCTAAGTTACAGGGAGACGTACGAGGTGTGCTAATGGACAAGCCAGTGAGGCTGTGCTAACGGATCGTGCTTGGGATTGTCTTGTTTGAAGCCATCTACTGCTTAGGAGTGTTTGATCGTGTTTGGGATTACTATTCTTGCAATCTACTGTTTTCTATCGTACACCATGAGTCACCAAGTCCCAGAGTTGAAATCTCCCCATAAATATTTACACACCACGAGACGTTGACAAACGGTGTTTGCTAGTGTACGAGCGAATGAAACTGTTCCAGCAGTTAACAATAAAATATTGTAATTAAAAATCATAGTTGCTGTACGTCGGCTGTCGTCCATCTTTGACAATCGTGTACAGACGTATGACATTTGTCACGCATTATAGGTGAGATGCGATTGTCCGATTTGACAGAGTTCGAGCATTTTTCATCGTGAAACTTGCCAGCGAGCCCGCAGTGAAAATAAATAAACGAATGGCCGCTGGAAACTGTCGAATCTACTAATTGATAAGATAGAAAACACGTTAACAAACGGTATTAATATTGACGGTGGCAACTGCGTGTGGATTGGACGAATACTGACGCGTGATAGCGGACTCGTATATGTGTACGTCGAGTAACAATGGGGTAGCAACGTTATCGATAAATTACCATTACCGTTAGTGCCACTGTTGGTTACGTTATCGTGTAGCATCTCTATTCGCGAACGATGCGCCGCACTGATAGTCTATTTAGCTCTCTCGCGTGACAGTACCACCGCGAGCATATTTTTTCCTTTTTTTTTTCACGTCTGTGTTCAATGAGACGAAAAATTGAAGGGTTGCTATATAAACGTCAATACTGGTGCTCTAATGTTAATTTAAGCATAATGAATAAACGGCGCATCTCTATTTTCACGTGTAATTTTTTTATTTTATTTTATTTAAAAATTTAATTCTACTCTAGAACGACTTTCAAAGTCTCGACTGATTTCACACAAGTCTAAATTATTTTCTATACAGTTTGGTTTCTTTAATTATTAATTTGTGGTTATTTGCATTACGACTATCAGCTCTGATGACTTTGGAATTTCGAAGACCACGACCTTGAGGAACGTGATCTTCTCAACGCCATATTTTCTCCTTTAACATGTAAGCAACTTTCGTCACTTTCACTGGTTCCATACATTAACACGCAACGAGAGTGTTCAAGTGCATCGTGTTATGTCCATACTGCATACTTGCCCCACTAAAATGTAATTAATTCTTCGCGTTGCATTCCAGTTAATCTGATTCGTCCAACAACAAAATTCCTCGCTATCACGATCACCCAGAATACTTGAACCACCAGTCACACATACATACCATATATACTTCATATTTTTACTAGCGTTTTAATATTATTTTTCATCATCACGATTTGCTGCTCTTTTTATTCTCGATTACATTTTTATATTACGTACCTTTTTCTCTTTCAGATAACTTATGTGATTCCGTTAAATCCATTGAGAGAGAGGGCAGAGTTTTGAAAACGTTTGATAAATATATATGGATGCGTTTCCAAATTAATAAAATTACGTCCGCATGAATCACCAATCATTGTGCAGTTCAATTCAATTTTTGTTCATTCGTTATAGCGTATTTGTTTATTAATTTATTTTAGGCTTCGTTACTCAAATTGCTGAGAGAATAAATATAATCAAAAGAGGGGAAATGAAAATGCAAAAAATCCTTTGACCAAACATAATATCAGTAGGTTGAATGTGCTTTATTCTGTAAATAATTTAATTTACAGCTACAGTATGGGTTTAGCTATTCCGAGGTAGCCGAGCTATGGTGGGAGGTTAGTGTGCCCCT